AAATTAAAGTCACCCATGACATAAATACTGTTAGAACTAGATGCTCTAGATATTTCATCCCATAGATGCTTTGCTTCCATTCTGTCTAAATTTGGTGGCCTATATATAACTCCTATTATAATATTATTTGCTTTTTCGTTTAATTCTATCCAAATAGTTTCTGTGTGTGGCTCAGTTTTGATTCCCTCTTTGAGACTACATTTCAAATTGTCCCTAGCATATATGGCTACTCCCCCTCCTCGTCTAATATATCTATCTGTGTGAAATAGTTTAAATCCATTTATTTGATATTCAGCTAATAGCTCTCTGTTTTCTACATTCATCCACGTTTCGGTAAGTGCAATAATATCTATTTTTTCTGTGCAGACAAGAGCATTTAAATCGTTTATTTTATTTCTTAGACTTATAGTGTTTGTGTAATATACCCTAAGTGAATTGTTATTTTGAGGCTCTTCTCTTTTCCTGATCATTTTGCCAATTCTTTTCTCCCACAAACACATACTTTTATTACCTCCTTCCTCCAAATCGATTCCCATACCACTATCTACTAACAGTTTAACCCAAACCAACGCCTCTAACCACTGGTTCCAACGAGTTCGCAACAACAACAGCCCTCGATAGATGCACCCCATCGCGAGGATACATTTCAATTTCTTCCATAGAAGCGTTCCCAGTTGTCTATGAAAGATATTGCATTTGATTTGCAATAACTTTCCAGCCGGCAATTGATACCAAGTGCCCTCGACATCCATTCATTTCCCACTACCTTTTTGGGAAAAATGCCACATATGATCGGGATTCCTCCCTTGCTTCTAACTAATTCAATTACCTCTGAGTCAGTTCCTCACTCCTAACTCGACCAACATCATTTCCTCCCGCACTAATGCAAATAACGGGATTGTTCCCATTTCCAGCCATAATATCATTCATGTTGTTTATAATATCACCAATGCCAGCTCCGGGATAGCAAACCCTTAACCTGTTCCCCCTATCTCTAGCACAAAACGTTCTATCCAAATACCTTATCTGGGAATCTCCCACAACTAAAGTTTGCTTAGGTACTTCTTTTACTCTCTGAGGGGCCTGCGCTTCATTGCTTTCCCTTTTGCGTGGTCCACAGTCTCACCACAGCACTCGTCCTCCAATACGGCAAATAAATTAGACGTTCTTAGTGCGTCTGTAGACGGCTTTATCAAAGTCTTCTTAAGGCCCCTGTCCTTTACAACTTTCCAAGACGAGGTCTTTTTACTACTGGTCTCCTCCTTCGTTCCCTCTTGTTGCTGTTTCAGCTGTCGTACCTCCTCTCGTAGAGAGTCCAACTCTGTCCTCAGAGCCCCAATCAGACTCATCAGTTCCTTCACCACAACTTCCATATTGAAGTATATACAATCGGAGCTCCAGCGAACACAACCTCTCACTTGCGTAACTGCTTCGTGAATCTGGTCTTGTGTGTGCAGAGGCCAGGTGTGCAGTGGCCAGGTGTGCAGAAGCCAGGTGTGCAGTGGACAGGTGTGCAGAAGCCAGCTGTGCAGTGGCCAGATGTGCAGTGGCCAGCTGTGCAGAAGCCAGGTGTGTAGTGGCCAGCTGTCCAGAGGCCATGTGTGGACAGGTTAGGCAGGTATGTTAGGTTTAGAATAAGTTCCGAAAGTAAAGTGATAATTGTAGTTATCTTGTAGAAACTGTAACCACTTGACCTCATTAACATTAATACTACCCACTGTCCCAAGGCTTGTGTGCCGAGCATTAAGGTCCCCAATGACCAGTGAAGGATTAGTATAAATGCAGTCAGGTAGATATATAGTTAGCGTCGAAGCAGTTCCTGGATACATACAAATTAACTACAATAAATTCCCCCTCCCTTAATGATAATTTAACACAGACACTCTCTATACCTTGCGTTTTTGACGGGGGTTCTACTAACTGCTGGTATGGAGCTCTTAACATAAATCGACGTCCCTCTGATGTTATTTGCGGCGAAGAGGTGAAACCCTTTATAGCCATTTAAATTCAATAAGCCTTCATTCCTATCCCCTGTCTCCTGGAGAGCTACAACATCAATATCATATACTTGTACTTCTACTACGTAAAAAATAAGCTCCATGCTGTTGGTGTCTTTTTCCCCTGATCAGAAAATATAACTGCTGTTAGCTTCCTCAACTGTATGAATTCCTGCTTCCTCATACCCTTAATCACTAGACCTACTAGAATCACTGATAGCACTGCCACGACGCTAGATCACATCTGGACAAACATAACCTCTCCGCTTACTTCAGGTATAATCACCGATAGCACTACAGACCATTACCCCACATTTCTCTTAACTAACATTAGCAAACCACCTCTTGAGTCAAGAGAGATACGTTTTAGACTACACAATGAAACTGCTATAGACAATTTTATAACTGCTACTGATAATGTCAACTGGGAGTCCAAGTTAGGTAACATAGAGGACATCAACCTAGCAGTTCAATCTTTTCTTCAAAAAACTCTTAGCCTTTATAATACCCACTGTCCTATGCTTACAAAACAAGTCACAACCAAAAGGCTTAACAATCCCTGGCTTACAAAGGGAATACTTAAATCTATTAATAAAAAACATGACCTTGAGAAGAAGTATAGGTTAGGAATTGTCTCCAAAGAATTCTCAAAGAATTACTCATTATTGCTATCTAAGATAATTAGACGAGCCAAAACTAAATACTACGAAGATAAATTTACCCAAATAAAGAGCAACATTAAACAAACTTGGAGAACAATTTCACAAATATTGGGATCAAAGAAGTCTTTAAATAACAAACCGACTCTCCTGTCTAATAACGATGGTCAGCTTTCAGCCTCTGATTCTGCTATTGAGTTCAATAGGTTCTTCTCTTCCATTGGTTCATCCCTTGCTAATGATATTCCATCTTCCAGTACTGACATTAAGGACTAGCTTACAGGGAACTATCCCCAGTCTCTGTACCTAAAGCCTATTAATTCCACTGACGTCAATGAGATAATCCTTTCCCTTAAAACCAAGTCTGGTGCCCTTGAGGAGATACCAACTTTAATCTACAAAAAAGCCTCCAGATCTTTAGCCCCTGCTATTGCTTTGCTCTTCAACAAGTCACTTGAACTCCAAACCTTTCCAGATATTCTAAAAAAAGCGAGAGTAACGCCTGTCCACAAATGTGGTGATCTCACAGATGTTAACAACTACAGACCTATATCAACCCTGCCAAACTTGTCAAAATTTTTTGAAAAACTAATCTATAAGCAGCTTTACTCATATCTAGCCAAACTCAATATGCTTAGCCCTTGCCAATATGGCTTCAGGCCCAAAAAAAGCACTAACGATGCACTTATTAGTATGCTTAACTCGATTCATACAGCTCTTGATAAAAATGAGTTCCCTGTTGGGTTATTTGTGGACCTGCGTAAAGCTTTCGATACTGTCAACCACCAAAACCTTCTTCTTAAATTACATCATTATGGTGTCAGAGGACACTCCCTACAATACCTCAAATCCTACCTTACTGACAGGCTCCAATGTGTTTCTGTGAATAATACAATTTCTCCCACCCTACCCATCAACATTGGTGTTCCCCAGGGCAGCATACTTGGCCCTCTCCTCTTTCTCATCTACATTAATGACCTTCCAAATGCCTCCCAACACCTCAAACCAATTCTATTTGCTGACGACACAACCTTCATTTGACGACACAACCTCCTGATCCCCTTGCTCTAAATGCCGCAGTAAATACTGAGCTAAATAAAGTCCATCTGTGGCTAACTGCCAACAAACTCACCCTTAACATTGACAAAACTTTCTATATTCTGTTTGGCAATAAATCCTCTAATCAAATAAATCTCAAAATAAACAATACCCAAATTTGTAACAAATTAGATGGCAAATTCCTTGGCATTCTCATTGACCACAAGCTGAATTTCCAGGGACACATTCTAAACATATCAAAAAAAGTTTCAAAAACTGTGGGCATTCTTTCTAAGATCAGATATTATGTACCACGCCCTGCCCTGGTGACTCTCTATTACTCCCTTATCTATCCATATCTCAACTATGGTATTTGTGCTTGGGGCTCTACTGCCCAAAATCACTTACGTCCTCTAATTACTCAACACAAAGCTGCTATTAGGACAATATCCAATTCTGGCCCCAGACATCACTAGGTACCCCTACTCAAATCTCTGAATATGTTAGACATTAAGTCACTGCACATTCTCTCATGTGTATTATACATATATAAAACGCTAAACTATAATGCCAATCCTGATCTCAAAAGCTTCATAGAAGGTTGTAACAGAACCCATGAGCACCACACCAGAAATAAATACAGTTTTGATATTCCTAGAGTACGACTTAATCAAACCAGAAATGCTCTACAAATCAAGGGGCCCAGAATGTGGAATGACCTTCCCAACCATGTTAAAGACTGTACCTCTCTCAACCAGTTTAAGTTAAAAACGAAGCTATTCCTAATAAATTCCCTGTAACCTACCTTACCCCTCTGTTGACAACCCATGTATGTTTTTTGTTTTTTTTTTGTTTTTCAAATCAACGCTGTTTGAATGTAATTTTCTGTAATAATTTGTAATTGTATTTGTGCTGCTTTTTCAACAATGTTCCCCCCTCTTTTACCTCTATTTTTATTTGTACTCAACACATTTTATTGTTTTTACCCATTAGTTTTAAGCTTTAGTCATTAGTGTTTTTTCCTGCCCGAAACGCTTTGCGTAATAGTGGCTTTAGGCATTGTATGTACTAGCTCTATCTATAAAGCCAACAAACTTTGTAAAATCTCTTTATGTATGTACCTTTACCTAAATAAAAAATATTATTATTATATAATTCTGGATAAAGGAAATACGCCTGTCGCCCCTTCTTGGGCCGGCTGCGCGCGCATAGCATGGGGCAGCGGCAGCCCCAGAGAACAGACATCTTCCAGGCACTCAGGCTTTACATACAGCGACGTCCGCTCGTGCGTTACCAGGTAAAGGTTTCATCTTTTGTTGACACGTAGGCGGCTATCCATACCGCCTTCGTGCAGGGTGGTGTCCCTTTGAGGCTGGCACGGTCTCTCCGGCACGCATGCCCGACGTGCAGGCCGCGTGGCGGGCGTGTAGGCCGGTGGCGGGCGTGCAGGCCGCGTGGCGGGCGTGTAGGCCGGTGGCGGGCGTGCAGGCCGCGTGGCGGGCGTGCAGGCCGCGTGGCGGGCGTGCAGGCCGCGTGGCGGGCGTGCAGGCCGCGAGGCGGGCGTGCAGGCCGCGTGGCGGGCGTGCAGGCCGCGTGGCGGGCGTGCAGGCCGCGTGACGGGCGTGCAGGCCGCGTGGCGGGCGTGCAGGCCGCGTGGCGGGCGTGCAGGCCGCGTGGCGGGCGTGCAGGCCGCGTGGCGGGCGTGCAGGCCGCGTGGCGGGCGTGCAGGCCGCGTGGCGGGCGTGCAGGCCGCGTGGCGGGCGTGCAGGCCGCGTGGCGGGCGTGCAGGCCGCGTGGCGGGCGTGCAGGCCGCGTGGCGGGCGTGCAGGCCGCGTGGCGGGCGTGCACGGGCTGGCATGGAGACCGCGTGGCGGATGTGCACGCCGCGTGGCTGGCATGCAGGCCGCATGGCGGGCGTGCAGGCTGCGTGACGGGCGTGTAGGCCGGTGGCGGGCGTGCAGGCCGTGTGACTGGCATGCAGACCACGTGGCAGGCGTGCAGGCCGTTTGGCGGGAGGGCGGGCGCGTGTGTCGCGTGGCGGGCGGCCGTGCAGGCCGCGTGGCTGGCATGCAGACCGCGGGCCGGCATGCAGACCGCGTGGCGGCCGTGCAGGCAGCGTGGTGGGCGTGCAGGCTGGTGGCAGGCGTTTGTGCGTGCCGTTTGGCTGGAGTCCGTGCATGCATGCCTGGCGGGCGTTTGTGCGTGCGTGCCGCAGGGGGGGGGGGCCCGTGCCGCGTGGCGGGCGAGGGGGGGGGGGGGCGTGCGTGCATGGCGGGAGGGCGAGGGCGTGCGTGCCGCGTGGCGGGCGTGCAGGCCATGTGACTGGCATGCAGAGCACGTGGCGGGCGTGCAGGCCGGTGGCGGGCGTGCAGGCCATGTGACTGGCATGCAGAGCACGTGGCGGGCGTGCAGGCCGGTGGCGGGCGTGCAGGCCATGTGACTGGCATGCAGAGCACGTGGCGGGCGTGCAGGCCGCGTGGCGGGCGTGCAGGCCGCGTGGCGGAGGGCGG